TCTTCGGTTACAAAATACAAGGGGTCGTCAAAACGCGGAACCCATACGAATCACTCGAATCAGAACCCAGAGAATGTGCATGTTCATACGACCTTAGGGCGTGTTCGCAGGGTCCACAGAGCCCCTGGTCCGCCGAAGCAGAGCTAGTCGTGTGGGCCAGCCCGAACCACGTCTCCACTGTTTGTCGCGGTCTGGTTTGACCAATTAGCATCAATCACTGCCATTAAACCTGGCAGACCCGCAGACCGGCTCGGACCAAAGCGGACCAGGTCTCGGACAATTCGTGTTATGAGGTAACCAGTAGCTCGGCCTCACAATTGTTCTCTTGGTTGGCGACGGACCAGAGGCTCCGATGATCTTGTGTGAAGCAAGCCCTTACAATGATGAAGCATTAGAAATAATTTCGTTTCTAGCCGTAAAGCATCTCATACTCTCAAGTATGTAGAGCAAGAGAACAAACCTGCAGAAGTATCTGCAGCCTTCTACACAGAACCATCTGAGACTAATACGCAGGCAAGTGGCACACCCAAAAAAATGGGAACAGCTGATGTTCAACATTAGGTACTGTACCACGTACCACTATAATGTGCACCAAGCAAACCTGTCTGACCTAAGAAAAAACATGGGCGATGCATTGAAGTCCATGCATGCATGTATCCATGCATTCATAATCCTTCCAGATACCCTAGAATATCTTCTTGATTTGTGGCCCTAGACGTCGAGGGGTGGGGAGCGCCATACCAGCACCCATGCCATCCTCAACCTCCATGTCATCCCTCTCCTCCACTCCCACACCACCCTCTGCCCCAAAGTCGTCACCAGTCGCTGGCCAATCCTTCTCCTTGCGCGATACCCCTTGCCTCTTTGACCGCATCCCCCCATCCTCCGCTTGGTCCGCATCGTCTCCCTTGAACCCCCTTCCAAATGCTGATCTGGGCGGCAGTCGTCGTCTCGGAGTGAGAGGCACACCAAAGGCATCCATCCCACTGCTCTCTGCCTTGTCCACTTCCCCTTCCCCGCTCTCGCCCCAACCCTCTCCACCATCACCCCGCCCTTTCGACTGCGAGCTGGAACGAGGGGCAGGAGGGAGAGCCGCACCAAAATTTGCAGCAGTGCTGCTGCTGCTGCTGCCAGCTGATGCAGCGGACGGAGCGGACGGCGGCAAAGCAGGTCTTGGAGGGAGCTTGGGGGCCTTACCACGTGCGTCCACTGCACCTGCTTCGCTGCCTGTGCTCTGAGAGCCACGTACCACCCTCCCTCTCCTTTGAGGCAGCGCTCCCAACACTGCTCCCACCCCCTCGTCCTCCTTACCACCCACCTCACCTCTCCTTCCTCTCTCCTCCTCCTCCTCTGCCTCGTCCCCCTCGCCCTCCTCCCATGCAGCTCTAAGCTTCGGTTTGCCATGTCTGGGAGATGGCAACCACACAGGCCCTACCCCACCACCCACGTCGCTGTCCCCATCCGCATCCCCTCCCTTGTGCTGCTCTTGCAACCCTGGGTCATCCACCTCTGTGATCGCCTGCAGTCCATCCACTGGCATCAGCTCCCCCTCCTCACCACCTGTATCTGCCTCTGCCCCCCACCCTTTCTCCTGCTGCACCTTCATGCTCCCTTTGGTCCGGGGCGTCAGTGGGGGGAGGCCTCGCCTCACCCCTCCGCCACTGCTGCCTGACTCGAAAACTTGAAGTCCTCCCATTCTCAACCCACTGCCACTGCCACCGCCATTCCCCCGGCCATTCCCACTGCCACTGGCATTGTCACCGCCATTACCTGTGTCCCCGTCGCCCACTGCCTTGGGCCTGCCTGATTGGTCCTTGAGTCGGTGTGGGTCGCGCGCAGCAGCAGCAGGCTTGGAGAACTTGCTCAGAGCAGCGCCATAGGCACCACTGCCAGAGGGGGGGAAGAAACCCAGGGAGCGTGGAGAGAAGGACGAGGGGGACGGCATGGACGTGTGTGCATGCAGTGGCAGCGGCGCAAACACTGGCTTGCGAGGCCCACGCCCCTCCTCACCTCCCCTCGCCTCGCGCGCCTCTCCTGCTTTGCTGCCTGCGTCCACCTCCTCGTCGTGCACGGTGAGTCGCGCCAGAGCAGAGCTCGTGGATGCCACTGCCGACCCAACGCCGCTGCCTGCTGCTGCTGCTGGGGTTGGCGGTGCCGGCAAGGGTTGAGCGCCACGTGGGGTCGGGTCGGGAGAGTCCCAAGGGAGGGAGTAGGCGGGGTTGAGAGGCAGGGTGGCCTCCAGCCAGCCCCTGTGCTGATACGGCAGCACCTTGGTGGGCGGCGCTGCCAGCGCCCCTGCTCCTTGCGGCGTGCCCCCGTCCAGCCCCTTGTTAAAGCACTCAAAGTCAAACGAGTACTCCTCCCGCTCCTCCACCACCCACTCGCCCCGTCTACTCCCACCCTCACTCCCACCATCGCCCACGCCCCGCCCACTACCGCCTCTGCCTCCTGCCACGAGCACGGGCAGCATGGAAGCGGGGTCGGAGTGCAAGGCGCCATGGCCGGGCAGCTGGTGCGCGTCCTGCCCCAGGTACGTGAGCCCCTCGCGCTCCAGCACGCTCAGACACACGCCCCACTCGCCGCTGCCGCCGCGCACCAGGCGCTGCGCGCTGAGCGCGGCCCTGAAGCCGTGCGGCTCCTGGCCCTGGTGGACCAGCGACGCTGCTGCTGGCAGGCGCTCGTACCGCACTATCTGTGCCGCCGCGTGCTGCGCCTGCTGCTGCATGGGCGCGCGGCACTCCGCGCCCTGCCACACGTACAGCGCCGCTCCCACCTGCGCATACGCATGGGGTCGTGGAGGGGGAAGTGGGGAGAGCGGGGGGGAAAGGGGGAGGCATAGTGAGAGGCGTGCAAGCAGTGAGGGAGGAGCCAAGGAACAGGGGAACGGGAAGGGAGAACGGGACGGAAGAAGACGGGGAAGGGAGGGTGGGCTAGGGAGTGGGTGAGAGAAGGCGGGGAGGGAGGGGCGCGAGGGCGGCGAGCGCAGGCAGGGCGGGGGCGGACCTGCACGATGAAGGCGCCGCGGGGGTCGAGTGCGGAGACAGACACGTCCGTGAGCATCTTGGGCACCAGGTGCAGTGGGTCGTATGGCGAGTGCGGTGCCATGCGGTACACGCACACACTCTCCATCTGCCGCCCCCCCTGCCCTCCCCGCCCTCCCTGCCCCGCGCTCTCGCCGTTGCACCCACTGCTATCGACAGTGCCATCAGCAGCGGCAGCAGCGAGAGCGCGTGGGGAAGCGGCAGGGGGCAGCGGGGAGGAGGGCGTGGGCGGCGAGAGCACGCGCTTCTGCCACTGCAGCAGCTGGCACGCGAAGCCCATGTTGGGACTCGCGACGCCGCGGATGGCCTTCACCACGCGGAACGCATCCTCGAACTCCACTTGCTGCGGGGGGGAGGGGGGAGGGGGGAAAGCGGGGGGGGAGGTGGGGAAGCGGAAAGGAAGAAGTGCGGATGCACGGTGGGAGAGCGGGGACGTGACAGCGGAATAGTCAGAATGCGAGGGATGCTAGACGACGGGGGGAATGCCCTCGCATAAGTGGGCGCGCAGGTGCAGCGGGGAGCGCGGGGCAAAAGGGCGGAGGGTGGGCGCGGCGCACGGACCTGCGCCCACATGAGGTAGGCGATGACCAACGACGTGGAGCGCGAGACGCCCTGGCAGCAGTGCACGAAGACGCGGCCGTTGACCTGCTTGACCTCGTTGACGAAGTCAAACACATCGTACAGCACGCACTGGATGTCCTCCGACGTGTTGTCCTGCGCGCCGAGCACAGCCAAAGCCACGGAGGGGACAGGCCCCACATGTGAATGCGCCGGACATGTGGGTAAGGGGAACAGATGGGCGAAAAAGAAAGGAATGGCGAAAACGAGTGCAGCGAGAGCGGCGGTTACCTGCAGCCAGAGCGTCTTGTAGGTGATGTCGTGCGGGAAGTACTCGGGGCACACGAAGCCGACGCAGTTGACCACGTGCGTGATGCCCGACTGCCGCAAAATGCCTCTGTCGCGCGCCACGGCGTCGCTGCCTACGTACACGTGCGGCAGCACGCGGCTGCACTGCTTCTCGAAGAACACAAACTTCTCCTTCCGATCGCGCACCTGCATCTCCTCCCCGCTCTCCTCCTCCTCCTCTTCCTCGCCCGCCCCGCCCTCCCCGTCGAACCTTCCCCCCATCCCCGTCACCGAGAACCCGTCCGGCCCAGCGGCCGTATCGCCCTGCGCGGGGAGGTGTTGCGCGGCGGACTGCTCGGGCAGGAGCACGCCCGCGGGCCCGGAAGGCAGCACGCGCAGGTCCAGCTTCATGCCCGCCAGGCGCATGCGCGCACGGTTCATGCTCATGGACTGCGGCAGCGGGCGCTGCTGCAGCGCCGGGCCCACCCCCGTGTGCTTCTTCGGCGCGCGCCCGCCACCCGACGCACCGCCGCCGCTGCTGCTGCTGCTGCTGCGGAAGCTGCGGCCGCTGCCGGGCGTGGCATTGGATCGGGAACTGTCCAAACGCGAGTCGTCGTCGTCCCAGAGCGAAAGCGGCGGCGCCGCGCCCCCTCGCCGCACACTCAACAACCCGTCGTCGTCGCCGTCGTCGTCCTCCTCTTCCCCCATGCTGGGCCCTCTCGATATAGTCATACTCCTGCTCGAGCCCAAATGCCGCATTGATCGTCCGCTGCCGGGGGAGCTATCGGAAAGAGGCGGGGGGGAGTCGAAGGTTACTGCGCGCACGTCACTGTCGCCCGCATCGCCTTCTACCTCCTCCAACACCCGCAAACCCATCGCACCTGCGCCTTTCCCCCTGCGCCCACCTTCTTCGCCCATAACCCCGTTCATGCCCGCTCGGTGACGGTCGGGGCGAGCGGCGTGTGCGGCATCGGAGTCAGGCAACGGGACATGCGCAGGGGGGGAAGCCACGGGCAATAGCGGCGGTCGTTCCGGCTGGGGGCCGTCGGGTGCGGCAAGGGCAGCGAGCGACGGGACCACGTCCACGGCCACAACCGCGCGCGCCTTCCTCATGCGCGACGGCCGGCGGACAGGTCGCCGGGTGAGACGGCGGCGGGCGGTACGGGCGGTGCTAACAGAGGCGGTAAAAGCGCACGTTTGCTTGGAAGGGACGATCTGGTAGGAGCTGCGCGCACGGACGCCGGCGATGTGACACTAACGGAGGCACTCGCATGACATCGCAATGAAAGAACGAGTCGCCTAGGGGTTAATTACTATAGATGAGCTTTGAGGGGAGAAGCAGGGATGGCGTAGGCGAAACACAACAGGAACGAACGAAACAACGGTCGCGCCTCTTGCACGATGTTTCCGCAGCATTCGTCAGGCCCCGCGCACGCGGTGTTTCAAGCCGAGAATCTCCCTGACTTCTAACTCTCCTGTGCTCATCGTTGTTTCCGTCGTTTAACGGTAGTGGCAGAGTTAGAGCAGTAGTGCCGTTGTAGTAACAAGGACAATCATCTGGCGACACTGCTTGGGTAGTGCTAGTTAGTTTGGAGGGTGGTCTAACGGCAAGCAAAATTCTGCCGTGTCACAATGCGGTACAGATGGGTGACGAACCAATCTTGGGAATTACGCCCAGAAAACCTTGGCGGAAGCATCTTTGCCTTTGTTCCGACAATCTCCGCGCGCATGCTGGTTGAGGAGGAGCAGTTGGACCGCGCGCCGTCGCCTGGGTCGCGCACGGCACGTCAGGCGGTGCACTGGGAGGAAAAAGAGTGCAAACGGTGAAGAACGACGTTCGCGACATCGTTCGGACACAGCAATGCTGTCGTTGCTGTCGCCACGACAGGATGAAGTGAAGGGCGTACAGCCCAAGTTTCCCAGGAGCAGAGCAGATACACCACAATTCGTAACGGCTTCACATACGAGGCTCGGGCGTATTCCTTGAGCCATCACAACACCACCCGTCTTCGCGTCACTCACACCAGTTACCAGCAACAAGGTGCTGGAGCTGGTGTATATGTTGCATGCACTTCCTTCCATAGGTACTATTGTATTATAAAGGACTTGTCCAATTTGCCCACATCTCACACCCCTTATATCATATAGCAATTCTTCAAAATATGTTACGATATGAAAAATGAGTAAGGCATTCCTGTATGCTGCAGGAGGCGACTCTACCGAGTACGAAGGCAAGGAGTCAGAAGAGTCGAAGCGACACCAGCAACCATCTGATCAAGACCGATGCAGGCAGAAACATTTGAAGTGAAAAGAGTGGGAACAGGTTTGAAACGGGTTCCCGCGCCGCACGGTTTGAGTTCGCTGTAATAAGGGAATGTACATGGCTAGTCTAGGTCGTTTCGTATTCCCTGTACTCTATATATAAACTTGATGTATGCATGCTTTTCATTATCTCAGTCATTTACATTCACTCTGACCTGAGGTCAACTCTTCCGCTGCAACAACTCAACCTGCGATCAACCCTGAGAACGATCATTCGCTAAGTCCCACTTTGGATTGTAACATGGTATCAGAGCTACTCAGGGATTCTTCGCAACTTCACTTCCGTGAAATTCGCCGAATCAAGATCTGGCGAGCGGCACACGCTCCAAGACCAAGATGGCCGGAGGATCCGGAGGCCAAACGAAACTGACGGCCGAAGGACAAGCCAACCCGGCTGCGACAAATGAGGCGACAACCACGATCAGCATTGCTGCACTCGAGCAGTTATTTTCGCGACTATCAACTATGGAGAAAGACCTCCAAGAATTGCGCAAAGGCGATGCGGGAACCTCTTCCCAACAAGCTCAACCTGGTCAACCGGCTGCGAAAAGCCGCGATACCGCCGCGCACACCTTCTCCCTCGACTCTGACAAATCAGCAACAACTGCCCCCCGTCCAAGTGATGAAGTCATCAACTCAGCGCAAGCACGTTTTCTCAGCGTTTCAAAAATTAAGACTGCTGCCGCGTTTGACGGCAAAGATTTCTATACATGGAGTTCGAGCTTGAGCTTCTCCTACAGACAGCGCATATCTACCATTACTTCGACGGCTCCTACGCTAAACCGGTGGAAGATACCGAAGACGACAGGACTCAGTACTACATGTCAAACATTGCATATGTTTCTATTCTGTAGGCTATAGTGGGTTTAGCCTTAGGGGGTACAACATTCTAGGTTTTCCTACTTGTACTCCCAATGCTGTTAGTTCAATCATTCCTCTCTGATTCTGACATGGTATCACGAGCCTAGGTTAGTCACCTAGGACCGACTACTGTTAGGGCCCACCACTGCTACTACTGCCTACTACCTGTGCGCCCTCGTGCGCTTCCTGCCTGCGCCCTCGTGCGCCCCTTTTGCTAGTTGCGCGCTGCCCACTAGCCCCGTGCAGGCTCGTGCGCCGCCCGCCTGCCTACCCGCGCCCTCGAGCGCCGGCCTACCCGCGCCCTCGAGCGCCTGCCTACCCGCGCCCTCGAGCGCCGGCCTACTCGCGCCCTTGAGCACCTGCCTACCCGCGCCCTCGAGCGCCACCCTGCCGCCCTGCCCTGCAGGCCGCGCGCGGGCAGTTGTGCAGCCCTGCCCTGCCGCCCTGCTCTGCACCCGAGCAGCCGACGCCTCTGCGGGACCCGGGCGTCGCCCCTGCCTCGTCGCGACGCCCCTGCGGGACCCGCGCGTCGCCCCTGCGGGACCCGCGCGTCGCCCCTGCCTCGTCGCGACGCCTCTGCGGGACCCGAGCGTCGCCCCTGCCTCGTCGCGACGCCCCTGCGGGACCCGCGCGTCGCCCCTGCCTCGTCGCGACGCCCCTGCGGGACACGCGCGTCGCCCCTGCCTCGTCGCGACGCCCCTGCGGGACCCGCGCGCGTCGCCCCCGCCTCGTCGCGACGCCCCTGCGGGACCCGCGCGTCGCCCCCCGTCTCGTCGCGACGCCCCTGCGGAACCCGCGCGGAGTCGCCCCTGCCCGCCGCGGCGCCCTGCCCTACCCCGCGCCCGCCCTTGGGACGGCCGCCCCTGCCCCGCCCTGCAGCAGCTGCCGTCACGGCCCTGCCTCGCCCTGCAGCAGCTGCCGTTGCGGCCCTGCCCCGACCTACAGCAGCTGCCGTCCCGGACTGCCCCACCCTGCAGCAGCTGCCGTCGCGGCCCTGCCCCGCCCTGCAGCAACTGCCGCGGAGCCTTTAGCCGCAGTTGTGGCCCCGCCCTGCAGCAGCTGCCGCGGAGCTCCCTGCCGCGGTCGCGGCCCCGCCCTGCAGCTGTAGCGGCCCCGCTGTCGCCGCCGTCTTGCGCCTGCCCTCCCCACCACTGGTGAGCACTGCCCTGCCCGCGCTGCTACCGCTGCTACTGCTGCTACTGCTTTTACTGCTCCTGCTGCTACTACTGTTACTGCTGCTACTGCTGCACCTGGCGTGACCAGATGCAGCTCCAGGGCAGTCCGCGTGAGTCCCTCACACCCCAGCAGCTTCGTGAGTGGTACGCTAGTTGGGGTTGTCGGGGTGGCCGTAGTGGGAGTCGCACTGGAGTGGGTAGTTCGGGAGCTTCTGGTAGTGGCCAGGTGCAACTGCAGCGTCGTCCCCGCGAGGCTCTTTCGCCCCAGCAGCTTCGTGAGTGGTACGCTAGTTGGGGTTGTCGGGGTGGCCGTAGTGGGAGTCGCACTGGAGTGGGTAGTTCGGGAGCTTCTGGTAGTGGCCAGGTGCAGCTGCAGCGTCGTCCTACTAGTGCTGAGGGTGCCTGTCACCTGTGTGTGCCGCCTGACCCCGGTATCCAGTCTGCTGCTCTAGGTACTGGTGAGGCTGCCGCTCTAGGTGCTAGTGCGTCTGCTGCCCTAGGTCCTGGTGAGGCTGCTGCTCTAGGTGCTAGTGAGTCTGCTGCTCCAGGTGCTCGTGCATCTGCGCCTGCTGGTACTGCGTCTACTGAGGCACTGCACACCTTCACACTGGACTCGGGTGCTTCCCGCTGCTTCTTTCGTGACCGCACTGTCCTTGAGCAGCTAGCTCGGCCTGTTGCTGTCTCCCTGGCTGACCCCTCCGGGGGCCCAGTCCTTGCGACCTCCTCCACTATCCTTCCTTGTCCTGCGGTCCCGTCCGGCACCCTGTCTGGTCTTTACCTCCCCTCGTTCTCTACAAACTTGGTGGCAGGCTCTGCTCTCCAGGATGGGGGTGTTCACCAGTTCACCCCGGCCCATGAGCGTGTGACCCACTGCACGTGTGCTCGGACGGGTCGCCACCTGGCTACCTTCACTCGGCAGCCGGGGTCGGACCTGTACACACTGACCACTGAGTCCCCTCAGGTAGCTGCGTCTGCGTCTGCGTTAGGTCAGCTGTCGGCCCCCTGCTTGTGTCGCTCCCTGTCGCACCAGACCGTCCTCTGGCACCACCGCCTTGGTGCCCGATCGATACCGTAATACCCCGGATATAAGACCCGGGGGTATTATAGGAATCCCACCCCAAAAATGAGGGGGGGTCTTAACAGTTGGCTACATTTTATAAGACCCGGGTCTTATCATAAGGTCAAGTATACTTCTTGTGTTTTGGAAGTCATACATGTCAACACTATGTGCTTCGTTTTTAGCCTCAAAGGGAATGCGCGCAATGAAATTCGTGTTTAGCATACAAAATTATTACACGAAATTGACATGATGATGCGTATATGCGCTTTTGCGACTGGCTATACCCCTCATTAATGAAAAATTTATGGGATATGGTGCGGAAAGGGGCAGAAAAGCTATCAGAATTGCATTCATTGCCAATAAAACGACCGATTCTCTAGGGGGAGGAGGGTCTTATAATGTTAGCCCCCATTTAGGGGGGGTATAACAAAAACAACCCATTTAGCGTACCCCCCTCCGTATTATAGACCCGGGGGTCTACAACTGGAGGGGGTCTTATATCCGGGGTATTACGGTAGCATGAATCGGTACTGTGACTCGGTGAGGGTCGGTGGGGTTGGGCGAGCAGGCAGTCTCGTCAGTAGTTGGCCCGATTCCTACTGACTGCTGGCGTTTCCCTGCCTTGGAGACTCCCTCCCCTGCTCTGCTCCGCGGCGCCTTAGCTCCTCTGGGCATTCACTCTTGCGATGGCACGG